AGAAAAAAAACAAAACAACAACAACAAACAGTGGCACGCCCGCTGAGTCCCCAGTAACGGATGGACATCGTTCCGGAGAGCTAACAGCTGGCTGCCGTAAAAGAAAGTCATATTATGCCTAACGATTGAGATCGTGATTGGAGGGGGATGCTAAACAGGAGGGGGATGGACAAAGGAACTCACAACACAAACGCCATTGGGGCCGGCACCTAGCCATATCAGCAAGTGTGTCCAACCAAACGTGTTCACCGTCCTTAGGACCCCAACCAGGCAGTCGGGATGCACCAACCGACGCCAACTTCGAAGTGAGGGTTTTCATTTCTCTCGACCAAGTCATCACTTGGCCTCCCCTCCTCCTCTTCCAACCGCACCCACAACGCGTAAACAAAGCACGTCGTGGGAGTCGGTGTGCTGGCATGCGCAACACGTGGCCCAGCCATCGGAGCCTGGTGCGTGATATAATCGTGCTGAGCGGTTCACTCGCTCTTCCTGTACCAAATACGCGACGCCGAACACGCTCATTGCTCACGCGGTGTTCCCACCAGACATGAGCTAAGCTGCGAAGGCAGCGATGATCGAATGTGACGAGTCTCTTCATGTCTGTCGACCTGATGGGCCAGGTTTCACAGCCATATAGGAGAGTTGAACGGACGGCTGCGTTGTAAACTCTGCCCTTCAGGGCGAGAGTAATGTCGCGTCTGCGCCACAGGTGGCGGAGATTGGCAAAAGCACCTCGAGCTTTTGCTATACGGTTCGTAACCTCATCTTCAATCCCACGGGTGCTAATATAGCTGCCCAGGTACTTGAATTCCTGAACGACTTCTAGCAGATCACCACCAAGCGTTAGCGCAGGGTTGGGTCCCTGCCAATCTTGGAGAAGTACTTTGCATTTCGATGGAGCAAAGCATAGCCCAAAACGATTGAAGTGAGTAAGAATACATGATCGCTGCGGCTCAATGGGGCGTCGACCATCGCCCTCTCGATCATGAGTACTTCGTTGGTGAATATTCGATTTAGTATAGATAATCGATCCGTTTATCTGAATCTGGTGGAAGTGTTGATGTACCCATACAGCGGGAAACTGGAGACAACCTCTCCTAGGTTCTCCTTGCACTGTTCCCCAGGAGGTGCTTAGGGTTCCAGAGCGTGGATGTTGAAATCGCCAGCAGTTAGAATGTGGTTGTACTTTTTGTTTATCACCCATCTTAGTGCGGATGGCTGATCGAAGTCCATCTTTGGTGTAGAGGAGAGATGTTGGTAAATGACCGCCACCAAGCAGGCATCGTCGCCTCTTAAGTGTAGACGGTGCCAAAGGGAATCTTGTACCTTGTTGACTGGATCCTCTATGGGCTCACATTGGCGTTCACTGCGGAAGTATCAAGTCACCCCTCCCCTTTGCATGGTCAGTCATGCCGAATAACGGACATTCTTGCCATTGCAATTTCGACGTCACTTACATTGGGACGTTACCATGTCTCCGTTATAGTGATGAAGTCACAGGCCTTTGGTCCTTCACGCGCTCATATTTCCGAAAGTTTACTAAGTAACCCTTGAGCTTCTTGGATGTCAACAATTCTTGACAAGGAGTATATAAAGGAGGTGAGTTTGTGCGCAAATTGGGCATCAGGCGCATTCTTCATGGCACACTTTAGGCGATTTCAATCAGCGTTCGGCTCACCAACCTCATTAACAATTAGTGGGCCAGTTCGTCATGATCTTGTTGATTGAACAACTGCGAGTTCAAGTTAGAGTTGAGAATGCTAGGTGCTTCTTCGAAGCGGGGATAGTGGGGTCCAGTCATGTATGCATTAATGCATGATCAGAGCCTAGACATGCACTCCAAATTGGCTATCAGTCTTGTACTGATTTGTGCTATCCATGGCTGGTGGCAACTAGGTCTAGGTCATTGAGGTGGGTGGCAAGTCACACCTTGTGAATGTGCTGGAAAGCAATGCTGCTAAAGTAAAGGTTGTGGTCGGTGCGCACTTGCGGGAATCGATCGCCATTGTCTGTTCGGTGTGCATCAAGACCGAAGCTTCCCACGTGCTAATCCAAGTCTGAAATATTACCCGATTGAGCATTTACGTCACCGGTAACAATCACGTTATCGGTATTTTTCGTTGTCCGGATGAGAGTTTGCAGTGGAAATTGTCTTCATTGCCCTTCGAACTGCAATCAGTAGCGACATAAGCGGAAGCGATAGATACGCACCTTGTCTTCCAACGGTGCTGAGTAACCCAAATAGAGGTCCGATGTCGAACCGCACCTATGCGGTTGTTCGCTAGTATCTAGCAGAGCAGAGTACGACGAATGGTATAGGAACCATAAATTCCTTGAGTTATTGGCTCGGTATCGTCACAAACCTTGTCGGAGAACTCCGGACCAGGGAGTCGAAGATTCGTCAGGAAGCTGTTATATTTTATGTGATTTTCGGAGACACATCAATACCAAGTGACTGAAGGGTGAATTAGTGCTACCTGTTTACCGACCTTACCCAGCGTGCGGACTTTGAACGAAACAATGTGAAGTTCTAACCTTGGTTTGAGAGAGGAGTTTCATGTCTAATTTGGGACTGTGATTGAGGGTTCTCATTGGCATCTGTTTGGGGCATATTACACACAGCGTTTGAAGATTTTGTACAATACACATGTGTTTTCCGTCGTACTATCTTACGCATCTGCGACCACGGCCAGTTGACGAGTTTGGACCAATTCGACTAGGGGTTGTCTGACTTGAGGCGGGCGGTAGTAAACCATAGATCACTGAGCTGTGCCCTCTTACCGTCAGAGGCAACACGTTGCGCTCGCACTCTACGCAAATCGTGCTGAGATCTTATAACCCGTAAACCTGTTGTCTCCAATGGCTAGGTTTTAAGCGAGTTGGTCATTGGCTTCTCTCTCAGAAGAGGTTTGGGAGGCTGATTTTTTCTGGCTCCTAACCATTAGTCTTGCCTGGTGTCAGTGGCTCTGAAGTCACTTGGAAAATGTCACCCAGCTTAACAACAAATTATTTTCTCTGAATCTAGCGGTGGTCATCATCGAATGGCATCTTTCTCTCGGAATTGAAGTATTCGCAAAAATAAAAGTGCTTTTTTGTGTATATTTTGTTGGTTCTCTATTCATGTGCCCATGTTGCTCAGCAAATCATCCAATATTTTTGACTCCAATGTTTGTTTACTTGCGTTTTCTCTCGCGCATTGTTAGTTCCCCACTTGTTAATGCTCCCCGAAGACTTCAGTGACAGGAATTTACTTGCATGCTCTTTATCTGCGACTCTTCATCTGATTGATACAGCCGCAACTAAGGGGTTAGAACGGACACACGAGTATTAGACACGTGAGTCACTGGATCAGAATGTCTGATCAGTTTGGCTTTTGACAAGCTAGTAACATAGCCTTATCCATTAAGCATTTTTGTCCAGTGACTCACTGCGTTTAAATCTCATGTCCGTTCCATTCTTCTGATGTTGACCTGCGAAAAACTAGCTTGTCGCTAAGCTTGTTTCTTGTGCCCATCTAATTGTCTTGGTAACACTACTCGTGACAACTGCGTCTGGATCCTGCATCTTTGCTCCTGTCACTGACTGTATATTTGTTTATGGCCATATAGAATCAAGTTATCACTAGTACCTTGACACTGCTTACAGGCGCTGCAGTGCCACGCGACCACCACCAGTCGCGCGCGCCCTGAGATTACTGCGTAGTCAGGCACACCTACGCATATTCGAATCGATGATTTTTGAGTACACGCCTCATCCCTTCGGATACCGGCCGACATGCAGCAGAACAACAAGCCTGATAGGGATTGCACGTCTGCCGCTTGTTCCAACCAGATCTACGCGCATTCACACAAACCAACATGGCACGTGATAGGAGTATGATAAGCGTTCGCATTTTATTGTGAAATTTAGGCTAACAGCTGCGCACGACTTTCTGCCAGCCAGTTGTCCATGCACTCACTTCGTCTGTCGGCCTGGTGGTACTTACATCTGATGAGGGAGTCTTTTCGGTAATTTATTTGACTGCCTTTATATCGGATCTTCCGGACTAGTTGTTTAGATAAACGCTATTTATCACTCACTCATTTGCTTCTTCTTTGCAACAACCCTGGTATAGCCGCCTCTTCTTACACGTTCCTGTCTCTGTGATACACTAGCGTTGGATCTCTATTATGCGTCCATCTTGATGTTCGTATGGGTTCTACGACTTACAAAACTAATTCCTTTTTGCTTCATCTTTTACCTCTGCAATAATTGTCTCCCCTGACCCACAGTTTGATCGACTTTCGGCCGTCCTCAGGACTTGTTCGGGTGTGGCATGCAACCGCGATTGAGTCCATATCGCTGCTGCTCGTGCGTACAGCCGTTTAATTTATATTGATTGTCCATAACAGGTTGAGAACAACTGAAAGCTAAATTATCCCTCAACTTATGTCCTGATACACATTTAGGACTGGCTTTTGTGTGTTACCTTTCGCTGATGCTCATTCTGTGAACAAAGGCACATGCATTTTGCTGATTTGTTTGGGGTTCTTGTTTCGACCGTCATTTTACGTTGAATTCGTGCCAGCCTCCATAATTGACACCTTCATTTTTTCGGTAGCAAACGTCAGAAACTTCCGGTTAAGTGGATTCAGAACACTAAAATGAGACGTCCTCATCATTTCCATTCTCCGTACTTTTGTCTCAGTATGTCCACTTAAATATCAAGCTGGGTGTATCGCCGCCCTACTAACTGCAATTTTCGTTTTTTATTGCTTTTTTGTTTTCCGTAAGTTTGTAGTGCTTGTTTCTATTCATAGTGTCTCTACTGATCGCGTTTCTTAGGCTTGTCGCAACCCACTCACCACGTTCGTTCACAACAGTTTTTTGTGTCCACATTTCCTGATCGCGCGCCATTTTCGCACATTTGATGCTTTTTTACCTTAAGGTCCCGGTCAGATGGTCCACATTGGTTGCGACTTACTCTTAGTGAATTTCCTTTAATTCCTCGCTTTTTGCAGCGCCAGAGGATGCCGAAACAGTTGGGATGCCGCAGCTTTTGATGGAGCGTCATCTCGGAATACTGTGATTATTGTGTTGCTTCAACACTTCTGTCGGGTGTACTGCAAACGATCAAATAAATGCTTCTTCATTAACGCTACCTTTTTTATCCTTCCTCATCTTCGTCCATCTCATTTCGAGTTCACTTGACAGGTCAGCAACTTTTCTGCTATAAATACAACATTCACTACCTTATTTGCGTAACGTCTACCCGCCGTTGGTGGTCTTTCCGCCGACATCACTCCTTATGAGTTACAGTCAAACCCGCTTTATTGTCCACCCGGTTTATAGCCCACCTCGCTTTATTCCCCAGTTTTTCAAAATACTCATTCTTTTCTCATGAATAGGCTAAATTTTCACCGTCTAGTTGCTCCTTATTGGGGTTGTCCCACCGCTTAATTGCCCAGCCTCGTGAGCTGTGCTCTTGTTGCTTTGTCAGCTTTATGTCATCTTTTTGACTCTTTTAATTAGATTGCCCCACAGTTAGCCAGTCCGATGGAGTCAAAAACAACAAAGATGTCGGTGGCGTTATTGCTAGTTCAAAATGGTTACCTATGTCAATCAATACACGGCTATGGGCAAGCCCTCGGCCCTATTCAAAACTCGAGAACTGCGCAATGTCGGGTAAATTTACCGCTCCACATTTGTCACTACTGTATTGGTTACATACAAGTATGCCAAGTAGCAGAAAAGGTTTGTCTTTGACAGGAAAGTTGGACATTTTGAACAAATTGAAACATCCACCAGGAACCTCGCAGGTCAAGTTGTAGCATGATTTACATATTTCTCGTTCCACCCTAACCAGCTTGATTGCCAGTGAAAAGGAACTTCGGCAGAATTTGGCGCGTGGCACTGCAAATTCTCGGAAAAGGAAGCGATGTTCAATATATGATCTCGGTTCGTGAGCACAATCAAACAGTTACAGGCCCGCTTGTGAAGCAAAAAGCAGGAGAATTCGAGGAAGGAGTTGGCAAAACCTGTGGTGCCACAGTAGGACGGTTACGAAGATGAAAGAGTAGAACTCAATTCGTGCATAAATGTGCACATGGCAAAAAGAGTCTGTGAAAATTGGCTGAATGATCGACTACCTGAACTTTTCACTGCATTTGATGATGACAACACATACAATGCAGACGAAACAGGTTTTTTTACCCAGCAGCTCCACAATGCTCTTTGTGTTTTGCTGCCGACAGGCGCAGCAGATCGAAAAAGCCATTGATTAGATCACTTTCCTGTGCTGCGGGAATACGTCAGGCACGGATAAAAGAAATATAGTATTGATTTAAAAGTAAGAAACCGCGCTCTTTTAATGGCATGAACGTACTCACACTTCCCGCAACTTACGGAGCTAACAAAAGTGCATGGATATCGAAAGAACTTTTCACCGACTAGGTCCTCGATCGGGACAAGGAGCTAGGCCAATGTGGCCGAAAAGTAATGTTGCTTTTGGATAATCGCACAGCGCATCCACAGGTAGAAGGACTGAAAGACATTCAAATGTAATTTTTGCAGGCAAACACCGCCAGCATTCTTTAACCCATGGACCAAAGTGTGATTATGATTCATAGCACCCGCTACAGAAAGGAAATTGTGGACCGAATTCCTTATCACATCGAAAACAACGTATTATCTGGCTCATCATCGGCGGTGGATGTCAACGCCAAGATTTCTGTGCGCAGTGCAATCAAGTTCCTTTCAAAAAGTTGGAGACAGGTTACCGGTGCATTATACCCGCGTAGCACGGGCAGAGTGAGGGCTTACGGCAAGCTGTCGCCACCCTTCAGTAACTCCAGCGGTGTGAGACAAGGATGCTCGCTGTCACCTTTCCTTTTCAACTTCGCTATTGACTTAGTCATGGAGATTGCATTTACAGTACATGACTTCGAAGGTGTAGAGCTACTCCCAGGAGAACGACTTCTTGACTTGGAGTATGCAGACGACATTGCCCTCATCTGTGACAGCTCCCAGACGTGCCAAGCCAAGCTGGACAGATTAGCACTGGCTGTCAGTCGCTTCGGGCTTTGTTTTGCACCATCGAAATGCAAAGCGTTCCTCCAAGATTGGCAGGGATCGCCTCCTGCGCTGACCGTTGGTGGGGATCAGCTAGAAGTCGTTCGGAAATTCAATTACCTGGGAAGTTGTATCAGCGCCCTTAGGATAGAAGACGAGATCACGAACCGAATAGCAAAAGCTCGAAATGCTTTTGCAAACCTCCGCCACCTATTGCGGCGGCGTGACATTACTCTCGCTTTGAAGGGTAGGGTGTACAATGCAGCGGTACGTTCGACCTTACTGTACGGTTGCGAAACCTGGTCCCTAAGATCGGCGGACATGAAGAGGCTAGTTACGTTCGATCATCGGTGCCTTCGCAATTTGGCTCACATCTGGTGGGAACAACGCGTGAGTAACGAGCGTGTTCGACACCTTGTTTACGGCACATTAAAAGGAACTGAACCGCTCAGCACCGTAATTTCACGCACCAGGCTCCGATGGCTGGGCCACGTGTTGCGCATGCCATCCCATCGACTTCCACGACGCAGCTAATCAAGGAAAAGCAAATCGGAGTCGCAGAACCGAGCGTTGATTGCCCTATAAATAATACGTCGCCTTCTGATCCAACTAGGTTCTGATCGCAGCACAGTCTTTGTTTTTGATCTTCGGAGGGCTTTGCACGACGTTGTGACAGGAGAAAAGAAGGAACCGATGAACAAGGAGCAGCTTTGTTTTAGCTGGCGATGCCGACTCCATTGCGGATGACAGGTTTCGCTTTCCGTGGAAAGCCACCTGGATGGGTTTCGCCACACTGACGCAGTTGTACAATCATCCGGTTGATTCCCAGTTGGCAGTGTTTCCGACATGCTGTTGTCGATGAAGCAAGATGTGTACTGAAGAGCTCAGTTTGAACGGTGTGCTCAAGACGTTTGGTGCGTTCTGTGAAACGTTTCAACGCTACCTGTTTTTTTGCTTGAAACCGATTCCCAGGTGAATCAGTCAACAACTGCTTAACTGAGCTGACATTGCTAGCAAAAACATGCAATTTTTGTGAGTGTCTACCCGATTCACTGATGAGAGATCGATTCGTACTGGATTCTCAGGATGAGAACCTTACGCAACAATTATTGGAACAGCGAAACCTAACGCTAGACCAATGCATCAACAGCGAAACGGTAACAGCGTTCAAGTTTCGCCAGGTAAAACATCACGCAATCACTGAAGTATGTGTGGTTTCCCAACTCAAGTATGCGGTTTTGCAGAATTCTCCGATACGTGAACCAATCTGCAAGCACTATGGTCGCAGTCTTGACCCTCGAAAGAATAGCTGCTCCTCCTAAGGAAAAACATGTATAAAATGCTCGAAGAAGAATCACTTAGCGAGACGTTACCGATCAAGGAAATTGGAATCAGTTGACTGCGCTGCACGCCAGCTACCCAGAAACTTGCCATCTGTGAAATGGGGCGTCGAGGAGACAACAGAAGCACATACGCGACGCTGATTGTTGAGAAATGCTTCGTACGTTTCTAGTTGGATACAGGGGCCACCTTAAACATTTTGCCGGAGAAGCGCTGTCCTGGAATGCAGTGCGAGGGAGCATAACTGTCTTAAAATGTGGAATGGTACAAGATTCCATCCGAAAGATAGTGTCACGCTGAATGTCATCAATTCGAAGGCTGGAACCAGCCATCAGATCACGTTTGTCTTCATACAGCGAGATTTTGTGCCCATCCTGGGTATTGATTCCAGCCAGCAACTTGATTTCGTTTCCTTTACTCTAGAGTGCTGTGTGCATTCGTGTCAGCCAACGATGGATATCGTTCACCGTTATCCTAAAGTTTTTGGCGAAGGATTGGGGAGGTTCGACGGCTGTGTATATCTATCGCTAAATGAGTTTGTTATTCCAGTGGTTTTGCTTGCTAGTAAGGTGCCTTTAGCGCTGCGCGTAAGATTTTCCATAGAGTTGCGGCGCCTAGCTGTGCTCAGCGTTATAACCAAAGTTGACGAACACACGGATTGTGTCCGCCAAGTGGCCATTTTTACCAAGAAGTCTGATGATTTACTAGTGCGGATCGATCCAAAACCGCGTAACGCCGCCCTTAGAAGGGAGCCTACCAACATTAGACGATATGTTGTCAGTTCTATCAACGGCAAGATTTTTCACAAATATTAACCTGGCTTCCGCATTTTGGCATGTGTTGAATGACGAATCGAGCTATCTGATGACGTTCGGCGCACCATTCAGAAGATTCCGGTGGCTACGATTACCATTCGTGCAAAAGTCTACAGTGAAATATTCCATAAACGTCTATCACAAATTCCAGAGGATTTGCCAGGAACCATTTGTGTGGCTGATGATCTGCCGATATTCGGCTCCACTGTAGAAGTGCATGACCGCGATCTCGATCGGTTTCTCCAAAGCTGCGCTGACAGAAACCTTAAATTGAAACGTAACAAAGTTGAATTTCGTAAACCAGAGGTCGTATTTCTCGGACATGGTTTGAGCTCCAATGGATTAAAATCTGTTCCAGAAAAAATCAGGGCGATAAAAGTAATGCCACCCCCTATTGGTGTGAAAGGGGTCACTTGGTTGAACGGACTGGCCAACTATCTAGGTCGGTTTTTACCAAGACTGGCAGAAATATTGACGCCTATACACAAACTGACGCACAAAGGAGAAGACTGGCACTAAGACATCGAACAAGTGAAAGCTTTCATTCGATTAAAATATCTGCTTGCGGCTGCTCCAGTATCCGCTTACTTTGATCCATCTCTGCATCTCGAGATACCGTGCAATAGCAGTCAGCATGGAATTGGAACGGTCTTAATGCAAAACGATAAACCTCTGGGTTTTTGAAGTTAGAGTCTAACACCGGCCGAACGTCGTTACGCACAAATCGAGAATGAGCCGCTCGCATTTATGTATACAATCGAAGACTTCATCGACTACATTTTTGCGCGAAAGACCACTGTATATACGGATCACAAGCCATTGGTTTCAATCGTCAAAAAGCCGCTCCATATTGTGTCTTGTCGTCTCCAGAGGATGCTCATCTGATTTCTTAAATATCATTTGGAGATCGTCCACCCGCCTGGAATAGAAATGTACATTGCAGACGCCCATCTTTCGGATGCAGGTTCGGTATATGAGGACCTCGATATGGTTCACGCGAAAGCAACTTACTGTCAGCGAAGAGCGTTTACAACGACTGAGACACTGCACGAATGAAGATGCAGTTTGCAAAAGTGTAGAACGAACAATAGCTGATGGATGGCCAGAAGATAAGAGGAGTTTGCCGGCGGAACTGATACCGCTTTTTCGTGATGAACTCGTTGTAAAAGACTGTT